CTCTATATATTACCTATTCTGAATATTTCATACGAATAAAATCACATATGCCTGTGTAACATATGGTCTTTTGTGTCTGGCATCTCAGCATAAGGTTTCAAAAGTCCATCCATATTGTAGAATATATCTGTACTTTGGAAAAACTCTCAAACCATGCTTCTCCTCTGCTCTCACACCAACACAAAAACAGTCATCAACACAGAAGACTTCTGGGACCCCAAAATATGTGGGGATTTCTCCTCATCAGCCAGCAGGCAAGCAATCAATTCTGCAGCAGACACCAGCTGTGTGTTCTCCAATTTCAACACTATCTACCTAGACATAATGTCAGATCCCTACAGGTTAACTGCCCCCACCTCAGATACCAGTTGCAAGTTTGGGTCTCCAGAACTTCTGAACAACAGGCTTTAAGTTGGGGTTTCCATGACCCCCTCTTTGGGTTCAATTGATTTGCTGGAGCGGCTCACAGAACCCAGTGTAACACTTACATTTTCTGGTTTATTACAAAGAATATTACTAAGGATACAGATGAAGAGATGCATAGGGTAAGGGAAAGGGGAAAGGACGCCCATCAGAGGGCCAAAGTTCACTGAAAAACCTACTCACAATAAGGCAGATTAATAAAAGAAGAGGTATATAAATTTATTAAACCATGTACACAGGGAGAATCACAGAGTGATTGCCCAATATTCCAATGGGGTTCAGAAGCCTACATACCATCTTGAGGTTACAGAAAGAACATGGACTTGGATCCTGGCAAAACAGATTATGGAGGGGGATATAAATTCTATTTAGGGGCAATAAATGGTTACTAGGGAGAATGATTGGATGGGGAACAGAAATTAATTCGTTACTAGTTCTCTTTGGAACTTAAATGATCCTCAGGGACAGTCATGATCTTATAAAAGGGTCCATTCAGGTACACTCTCGGTCTTCTTTCCTATAATGGATAATGAGACAAGGAGGGGAGCAACTGTTCTCCTTGCAGGGTCCATCCTATCTTTATGTAGATAGGGAAAAAGTATCTTCCAACTTGATCCCTAAGGGTTTTGAACTCAAAATCCTCATTATACCAGGGAGCCATATTTTGGGATGAAATTCCTCGTGCTCCTTCTGGCCTTTCATGAAGACTTCATTGGTTGCTCATGATTGAAGCATGGACAACCACATCAAAAAGTGATTGAACAAAAAATGTATGCTCTAAACCCAGCAAGGTCTGTCTATTCAGATGCCTCTTGGCCTCTCTGTGCAGCATTCCTTCCTCCAGGGTACAGGGTAGGGCCCTCTCTGGAATGGGTGCCTTATGACCACAATCAGATTAGAGTCTTGCCAAGTAGGCAGGTGAAAGGACGACAAGAGAAGGTCAGAGAAAGAGATTCTGTTTACTGTAAAATGGGCTAGGAAAGTTATGAGCTAGGAACTGTGGATGAAAACGAATGTATCATAATATCACAGTACTCCATTCCTTTTTATGATCAAATAATATTCTACTGTATAGATGTAACACACTTGTTTATCTGCTCACTAGCTGATGAACATTTGGGTTGTTTCCACTTTTTGGCTAAATCAATAAGGCTGCTAGGCACAGTTGTGTACAAGTTGTTGTTTTTGTTGTTTAGAGATGGGAACTCTGTCGCCCAGGTTGGAGTACAGTGGTGCAATCATAGTTCACTGCAGACTCGAACTCCTGGGCCCAAGCAATCCTCCCATGTCAGCCTCTTGAGTACCTGGTACCACAAGTGAGTGCCACCACACCCAGCTACTTTCTAAATTTTTTATAGAGACAGGTCTCCCTATGTTGTCCAGGCTGTTCTCGAACTCTTGGGCTCAAGCAATCTTCCCACTTCTGCCTCCCAAATTGCTGGAATTACAGGCATGAGCCAGCATGACCAGTTTGTGTACAAGTTTTTGTTTGAACACCTGTTTTCAGTCTTCTTGGGTATAAAGCTATTACAGATTTTCCTTGACTTACAGTGGGATTATATCCCAATAAACTCACCATACATAGAAAATATTGTAAGTTAAAAATGCATTATAACCCATAAGCCCATTGTAAAGTCAAAAAAGTGTAAGTCAAACCATCCTAAGTTGGAAATTATCTGTAGTGGAATTAGTGAGTAATATGTTCTATGTTTAATTTTTTGAGGAAAGGCTAAATTGTTTTCCAATGGATGTGTATTAGTCCATTTTCACACTGCTGATAGAGACATACCCAAGACTGGGCAATCTGTAAAACAAAAGAGGTTTAATGGACTTACAGTTCCATGTGGCTAGGAAGGCCTCACAATCATGGTGGAAGGTGAAAGGCACTTCTTATATGGCAACGGCAAGAGAGCGAATGAGAGAAGCAAAAGTGGAAACCCCTTATCAAACCATCAGATCTTGTGAGACTTATTCACTACCACAAGAACAGTATGCGGGGAACCACCCCTGTGATTCAATTATCTCCCACTGGGTCCCTCCCACAACACGTGGGAATTACGGGAGTATAATTCAAGATGAAATTTGGGTGGGGACACAGAGCTAAACCATACCAGGGGATATATCATTTTGCATTTTCATCAGCAATGTATAAGTGTTTCATTGCCCCACATACTCATTTGAACTTGGAACTGTTGATTTTTTGGTTTTTACTTCTAGGCATTTTGATGAGTATCCCATTGTGATTAATTTGCAATTCCCTAGTGACTACTGATGTTCAGCATCTTTTCATGTGCTTATTGGCCATTTGTCTACCTTTGGAGAAATATCTATTCAAGCCCTTTACATATTTTTTATTTTATTTTTGAGACAAGGTCTCATTCTGTCACCTGGGCTGGAGTGCAGTGGTGTGACCATAACTCATTACAGCCTCAACCTCACCAGCTCAAGCTATTCTCCTGTCTCAGCCTCCCGAGTAGCTGGGACTACAGGTGAGTGCCACCATGCCTAGCTAATTTTTGCTATTTTTTTATAGCGACAGAGTTTTGCCATGTTGCCAGGGCTAGTCTCAAACTCCTGAGCTCAAGTGATCCACTAACCTCAGTCTCCCAAAGTGCTGGGACTACAGGCATGAGCCACCACTCCCAGCCCCTTTGCACATTTATAAATTGTGTTCTCTTTGGTTTTGTTTTGTTTTTAAATTCGGTTTATCTTTTTGTTGTTGGGTTGTTAAGTTTCTTTTTACAGTAAGTTAACTTTTGTCAACTGAGAAAAATAAAATTCTATGCCCCCTAACTGACTGAACAGGCCCTCTCTTGGCCAAGAAGACCCTAGAAAAAACTTGGAAGCTGAGTTACTACTCATGACAGGATGGGAAGTTGGACACACCTCTTTATAACCCCTCCCTCTATAATCGCCATTAGATTTTCTTTCCTAAAGGTTAAACAGAAACCAGCCCTTTTGAAAGACTCACTCCATCAGCTTGATGCTGACCCTCCCATTTGCAGTTTCAACAGAACAACCGACCAGCATTCCTTCCTGGTAAGAGACCACCGACTATCCAGGGAGTGGTTCTGGCCAGTCTACATGGGACGTGCAGTGAGGGTTTTCATGTCCCTGTTTCACCTTTTGAAGTCAAGGGGTAGAAAACACCACCCTTGGATAATGCTAAGGCCACCATTTTTTAAACATGGGATCCATAGAGAGTCATGAAGTTCAACTGCACATCCCCAAGTTGCTCCTTTCATAAATATTCATGACCCCTCCTACAGTATATTTAACATGTATATTTGGCCACTGTGATTAGCATAAATCCCTGTCTTATTCTTCCAACCCTGGAAGTGTCTGTTTTTGTATTTTTGGCTTCTGGCTGGAAGCTAGGCTTCCCAGTCTGTCAAAATGGCTACCATGCAGGTTCAACCCCTTTTTTTTTTTTTTTTTTTTGAGATGATGTCTTGCTCCCAGACTGGAGTGCAGTGGCACAATCTTGGCTCCCTGCAACCTCCGCCTCCCGGGTTCAAGCAATTCTGCTTCATCTTCCCAAGTAGCTGGGACTACAAGTGCAGACCACCACATCCAGCTAATTTTTGTATTTTTAGTAGAGACAGGGTTTCACCATGTTGGCCGAGCTGGCCTCAAACTCCTGACCTCAAGTGATGCACCCGCCTCAGCCTCCCAAAGTGCTGGGATTAAAGGCGTGAGCCACTGTGCCCAGCCAGGTTCAACACTTTATGAAAAATAAAGTTCGTCTGATTGGGCACAGTGGCTCATGCCTTTAATACCAGCACTTCAGGAGGGCTAGACAGAAGAATCACTTGAGCGCAGGTGTTCGAGCCCAGCTTAGGCAACATAGTGAGCCCCACTATTTCTTTCTTTTTTTTTTAACTAAAGGAAAATATTAAGTAAACAGTGCTAAAATAGTGATGGCAATACAGAAATCAGGAACTGGTGGCATGACATTTTGGGAAAGATATTTAAGCTAGAGAGACTCAGTTTCTCCAGCTTTAAAACAGAAATCAGCCACTGTCACTTCATAGGTGCTGGAACAAAAGAGACTTGTTCCAAATGAGATGACGTATGTAAAGCGCTTACCCAGTGCTCGGCAAGGGGAAGCACTCTCTAAACGTTAGCAAATACCATGATAGGGCACTAGGCCCCTGACACTCCGCTTTCGGCTTGCTGACGATCCTCAAAACCAAGCGCACAGAGCTTCCAGCGCATGCTCCTTTCCCGCCCCCCCCCCCGCTACCTTGTGCGGGCACCGGCCGCTAGTGCGGAGCCACCGTGACCCGCAGCCTGACTTCCGTTTCCGGGGGCGGCTTCCGGCGGCGTGGGCTGACCGCGAGAGGCCAATGGAGTGCGGGAGCTGAAAGAGTCTTCGCTGGCGGCCGGTAACTGACGGGAACGGCCGAGTGTGGCTCCTCTGGTGTTTCCGCTTGGGGAGAGAGGGGCGGCCTTCCTTTTGCAGCCGAGGCCGGCGCCGGGCCGGACTTCAGCCCGGTCTCGTGGCGGAGCCCATCTTGCTCCGTCTCCCAGGCCTTTACCTGCTTCCTAGGATTCCCAGGGCCCTGTGGGTGAGAATTGGGAGACGTGCGTTTTCTTCCATTCTGCGCCTCTCATTGGCTCTCTGACCTTGTGCGGAACGCGCCCTTTAGCTGACCTCAGCTGCCTTTTTTAGAAGATGGAGATTGTATTCACAGTGACTGTCACTTTCTTAACGGCGGGAACTGACGTAGTATTAAACGCTGTCTTGTATCGCTGGCACAGCACAAGGACAGTATAGGTGTTATGTACTCACTTATTTTGAGTCACAAACCCTTTGAAAACCTGGTGTAAGTTATGGACCCTCCACCTCTCTAATACTTCCCCCGGCCCCCGCCCCAAGCACACACAAAAGCTTATGCATAGGAAGTTTGTTTTTCTATTTCAGGTTACTTCCAAGATTTCTCTCCTGATGCCCATCTGTGGATCCCAGAGTCTGGCAAGTAGTAGGCATTCGAATGTTTGTAATCATTAGATAGCAAGTGTTCCGTTAACCATTTTTATTTTTAATTTTTTTCTTTTCTTTTTTGAGACAGGGCCTCACAGTGTCGCCCAGGCTGGAGTGCAGTCCTCCCACCTCAGCCTCCCGAGTAGCTGGGACTACAAGTGCCCACCACCACGCCCAGCTATTTTTTGTATTTTTGGTAGAGATGAGGTTTTGCCATATTACGCAGATTGGTCTCGACCTCAACCCATCTACTCGCCTTAGCTCCCCAAAGTGCTGGGATTACGGGCACGAGCCAGTGTGCCCAGCCCAGTTAATCATTTTAAAATGCGTGAAGTGCTGTCTACTTCACAGGAGGGAAGAAGATAGCCTATTAATAAGTTTTACTTATTGGCCTGGCGGTGTACTACTCTCACTTGTCTCCTAACAACTCTAGGAAAGAGGTATTAGTTAATTCTCGCTTGTCTCCTAACAACTCTAGGAAAGAGGTATTACTAATTACTTAATTAAATTTGGAGGCTTGGGAGAATTAATTTGCCATAAGTCATTCAACCTATGATGGTGGAGGCAAAAATTCAAACCTGTATCTATCTGAAACTCCAAAAGCCATATATTTTTATTATTATTTATTTTTTTTTTTGAGACAGAGTCTTGTTCTATCACCCAGGTCAGAGTGCAGTGGCATGATCTCAGCTCGCTGCAATCTCGACCTCCCAGGTTCAAGCAGTTCTCGTCCCTCAGCCTCCCAAGTAGCTGGGATTACAGGCTCCCACCACCACACCTGGCTAATGTTTGTATTTTTAGTAGAGACAGGGTTTTACCATGTTGGCCAGGCTGGTCTGAAACTCCTGACCTCAGGCAATCCTCCCGCCTCGGCCTCCCAGAGTGCTAGGATTACAGGTGTGAGCCACCACACCCAGCCAGGCCCTATATTCTTAACTAACCATGTTCTTAACATCTAGATGCAGAAATGTATTTGAGTGTAATCTGCAGTTTCTATTGTAGTTATGAAATGGCTTTTGTCAACATGGGTTACCCCAAAGCAAACGTTGCATGCTATGGAAATACTTCTTGCCTCTTTTTCTCCCATGTATCTGTATTGCTTGTTTAATAATAACATCACGTTTTACAACCTGCGCTCTGTGCCCATGTTTATTCAACCCTTTTTACTTTGGTGACTATTTATCAGGTGTGTTGCCTTCTTCTTCCTGCCCTTCAGAGCCCATGTTTTTAATTATAACTGAAATATGAGATGACAATATTTGGGCTTTATTTCTTTCTCTTTTAAAGGACAGTACTGCTTTTAAAGAGACAGCGTTAGGGATCTTGGAAGCACAGCCAACATGTGTGACATTGAAGAAGCCACTAACCAACTCCTAGATGTGAACCTTCATGAGAACCAGAGCTCTGTACAAGTGACGGAAAGTGACCTCAGAAGTGAATCTGAGCTTCTAGTCACTATTGGAGCCACTGTACCTACTGGCTTTGAGCAAACAGCTGCAGATGAAGTGAGAGAGAAACTTGGGTCATCATGCAAAATCAGCAGAGACCGTGGCAAAATATATTTTGTCATTTCAGTGGAAAGTCTGGCACAGGTTTGAATGGAGCAATATTTAAAATAGTTTTCTAAGTTGATCGTTTTATGGTTACCTTTCATTTTACAGACCCTTCTGGAATCCTTTCTGATTTTCATTGCTCTGCCCCAAATCAGGAGATTTTAAAGTTACTGCATTTTCTATTGAGTACTGATTTGTAATTTTGACTGTAGTTTCAGTATCCCTTAGGACCAGAAGTGTTTCAGATTTTTGGAGGGGGGAGGGGGGAGTTTTGGAATATTTGCATTATACTTGCCACTTTAGCTTTTTTTTTTTTTTTTTTTTCTTTTTTTGAGACAGAGTCTTGCTCTGTCACCAGGCTGGAGTGCAGTGGCGCGATCTCGGCTCACTGCATCCTCCACCTCCCAGGTTCAAGCAATTCTCCCGAGTAGCTGGGACTACAGGCGCCTGCCAGCACATCCAGCTAATTTTTGTATATTTAGTAGAAACGGGGTTTCACCATCCTGACCAGGCTGGTCTCGAACTCCTGACAGGGTCCAACCGCCTCGGCCTCCCAAAGTGCTGGGAATACAGGCTTGAGCCACCGTGCCCAGCCTGCCAGTTGAGCATTTCTAATCTGAAAATCCGAAATGCTGCACTGAGCATTTCCTTTGAGCATTGTGTAAAAAAGTTTCAGATTTTTAGATTTGGGATGCTCAACCTGTAGTAGGATTGCTACATTTTTAGAGGTGATCTAGTATTTCTTGAGGATTGAATTCACCAGAAAGAGTACTGTTCAACTTAAGAAATTCTCTAAGTGGCCGGGCGCGGTGGCTCAAGCCTGTAATCCCAGCACTTTGGGAGGCCGAGACGGGCGGATCACGAGGTCAGGAGATCGAGACCGTCCTGGCTGACACGGTGAAACCCCGTCTCTACTAAAAAATATGAAAACTTAGCCGGGCGAGGTGGCGGGCGCCTGTAGTCCCAGCTACTCGGGAGGCTGAGGCCGGAGAATGGCGTGAACCCGGGAGGCGGAGCTTGCAGTGAGCTGAGATCCGGCCACTGCACTCCAGCCTGGGCAACAGAGCGAGACTCCGTCTCAAAAAAAAAAAAAAAAAAAAAAAGAAATTCTCTAAGTATCTCAGTTTTTATTTACTTCAGCATCTAGCAGATGTTTAACCTTTGGTGATGAAACATAAAAGAGATTTGCCTTTTAACCTGCATCAAAAATTCTTGCTCAGAAGTAATTAGAACTCACTCAAGGTAAAAAGTGAAGGTCAGAAAACTGCAATCTCACTATAATAAAGCTAAGATATATCTCATTACCACGTAAGCAGCAAGAGGGCAAGGATTGTTGTCTGTTTTTTTTCCACCAATATATCCCAAGCTCTTAGTGTCTGGCATATAATAGGTACCCAGAAAATATCTGTGGGATGAATTGGTAAGCAGATGTTTTCCATCCAGTATTTTAGCCAATACCATCCAGTATTTTAGCCAATACAGTGTTGTGAAGATAGACACTATTATTATCCTCATTAATCATTAGGCTTAGGACACATAAATAATTTCCTCAGGGTCACTCAGCTAGTAATCACAGAACTGGAGCTCAAATCCGCTACTTTTTTTTTTTTTTTTTTTTTAGCTCACTGCAAGCTCCGCCTCCCGGGTTCACGCCATTCTCCGGCCTCAGCCTCCCGAGTAGCTGGGACTACAGGCACCCGCCACTTTGCCTGGCTAGTTTTTTTGTATTTTTTAGTAGAGACAGGGTTTCACCGTGTTAGCCAGGATGGTCTTGATCTCCTGACCTCGTGATCCACCTGTCTCGGCCTCCCAAAGTGCTGGGATTACAGGCTTGAGCCACCACACCCGGCCTCAAATCCGCTACTTTTAACCATTGCAGCATACAGTGTACCATAGAAAGCCATCGAGGAAATATGATAGAGCCCACTTGAGTGACTTGACCTTTCTCTTCTCCCTCGAAAGACATGTTTCCCACAAAACACTTCATGCTTCTCTCTTTCCATGTGCCCTTTTTCCCTTTCTCTAGGGGAAAGCTGATTGGTAACCAAAGAGATGAGAAACTAGGGAGATGGAACATTTTAAAAATATAAAATATAGTTAGTAGCTGCTTTAAAACTACCATTCCTGATTTTTTAAATACTTAATTGTTGATAGCTTGTGCTGTTCAAAAGCTTTCTCAGAAGTGTGTTTCTTTTTTTTCACCCAGGTTCATTGTCTTAGATCAGTTGACAACTTATTTGTGGTGGTTCAAGAATTTCAAGATTACCAATTCAAACAAATAAAGGTGAGCTATCGCAAACATGGTGGCTGATTTTTGTCTGTCTTCCCCAAAGAGATTATTTCCACTTTTCACAGTCTGTGAAAATTGAGCATTACTGTAGTCTTTGTAATAGAGAATACTGGGAGGCTTTTACAATAAATCTAGAGTTTTGCTGACAGTCTATCCCAAAAGATGTTTTTTAAAAATTAGTATTGAAAATCATTAAAGTTTATAAGAAAGAAAACACACTGTTTTATTTATAAAAGATATAAACCTTAGATTTGCTTTGCTTTTACGTATATTTAGTTCCAAAATAGAATTGCTTCCAGAACATGAACCAAAGAACAAGTGACAATTTGTGTCTTCTACAGATAACACTTCCTCGCCATCCTGCTTTTGCTCTGCTTTCTTCTGTTTCTTCATTTTTTGAAATAAAGCCAAAGTGATATCTAAATACTCCTTCAGTTGTTAGGACAACAGCTTTGTCTCCAATATGTATTTAGCATCTGAATCCTAAATATTCAGCTGCTGCCTAAGCTGAAGGTTGAAAATAGATTGCAGCAAGGCTTTAGGTTTTTTCCACACTGCTTTTTGGTTAGGTTTCTAGAGTTCACTGCTTAAAAACATTTTTCTATCAGTTTTACCTATCTGAGAAGTAATCTTTTTAAAAACAACTGTGATATGCCACCTTATTGTCTAACTTTTATTTATTGGCAAACATGTTGATTTCCAAAACGTTATTCAAAAACCAATCAAAGTTGTATGAAACCACAGCCTAGAAGAAAACAAGACCAGACCTAAAAGAAGTCAGACTGAAAATAGGTAAAAATTTTATTAACAAAAATCTAACTTTTAGAAAAGCTTAAATCATTCTAATGAGTTCTGTTATTTTTAAGTATTCAGATGATAATCATGAATTGATTAGCCCCCACCCCCATCTTTTAAAAAATATTGAGAGTGGGGCTGGGCGTGGTGGCTCACACCTGTAATCCCAGCACTTTGGGAGGCCGAGGCGGGCGGATCACGAGGTCAGGAGATCGAGACCATCCTGGCTAACACGGTGAAACCCCGTCTCTACTAAAAATACAAAAAATGAGCCGGGCGCGGTGACGGGCGCCTGTAGTCCCAGCTACTCGGGAGGCTGAGGCAGGAGAATGGCGTGAACCTGGGGAGGCAGAGCTTGTAGTGAGCAGAGACTGAGCCACTGCACTCTAGCCCGGGTGACAGAGCGAGACTCTGTCTCAAAAAAAAAAAATGTATTGAAATGGGGTCTCACTGTGTTGCCCAGGCTGGTCTCAAACTTCTGGGCTCCAGTAATCCTTCCACTTAAGCCTCCCAAAGTGCTGGGATTACAGGTGTGAGCCATTGCACCTGACCCCCATTCCCCACCTCCATCCCCGCATTTTTTTTTTTCATTTTTGGGATGGAGTCTTGCTCTGTTGCCTAGGCTGGAGTGCAGTGGCATGATCTTGGCTCACTGCAACCTCTGCCACCCAGGTTCAAGTGATTCTCCTGCGTCAGCCTCCTGAGTATCTGGGACTACAGGTGTATGCTGCCACACCCGGCTAATTTTTTTTTTTTTTTTTTTTTTGAGACGGAGTCTCGCTCTGTCGCCCAGGCTGGAGTGCAGTGGTGTGATCTCGGCTCACTGCAGCCTCCACCTCCTGGGTTCACGCCATTCTCCTGCCTCAGCCTCCCGAGTAGCTGGGACTATGGGTGCCTGCCACCACACCGGGCTAATTTTTTGGGTTTTTTTAGTAGAGATGGGGTTTCAGCATCTTGGCCAGGCTGGTCTTGAATTCCTGACCTCATGATCCACCCGTCTTGGCCTCTCAAAGTGCTAGGATTACAGGTGTGAGCCACTGCGCCCGGCCTCCGTCTGCCTTTTTAAAACTGTGAACAAATCTGATTTATATAGATTTTTAAAAACTAGTTAATACATGTATTTGGAGCAAACTTGTAAAGACTGAAGGATATAGAGTGAAAAGTAAGTCTTTGTTCCTGTATCCCCGTGCTCTGCAGCTCCCTCCCTGGAGGCAACAACTATCACCAATTTGTTGGGTGTTCTTCTGGAGATATTTTACAAATAAATGTATTTTATTTACACAAATGAAAGCATAGCGTACATACTTTTCTGTGCTATGCTTTTTTTTCCATATACGAGTTGAGTATCCCTTATCTGAAATACTTGGGACCAGAAATGTTTTGGATTTTTGTTTGTTTGTTTTTTGAAATACTCTGGTCTGGGTGCGGTGGCTCACGCCTGTAATCCCAGCACTTTGGGAAGCCAAGGCAGGTGGATCACGAGGTCAGGAGTTTGAGACCAGCCTGGCCAAGTTGGTGAAACACCGTCTCTACTAAAAATACAAAAAATTAGCAGTGGCAGGCTCCTGTAATTCCAGCTACTCAGGAGGCTGAGGTAGGAGAATCGCTTGAACCTGGGAGGCAGAGGTTGCCGTGAGCCGAGATCGCTCCACTGCACCCTAGCCTGAGTGACAGAGCAAGACTCCGTCTCAAGAAAAAAAAAAAGAAATACTCTGAGGATGGAACCTATTTATAAACACAAGATTCATTTGTTTCATATATATGTTATGCATATAGCTTGAGGGTAATTTTATATGATTTTTTAAATAATTTATACATGAAACAAAGTTTGTGTACACTGAACCATCAGAAAGCAAAGGTGTCATTATCTCCGCTACCTGTGTGGCATCATGTTGGCACTTCAAAAAAGTTTTAGGTTTTGGATTTTGGACTTTGAGATTAGGAATGCTCAACCTATATGTTGGAGATCCTGGCAGTATCATTGCTGGAGTTGGCTGTGTATACTCCATTGTTTGACTGTATTGTAATTTAACCAGTCCCATTTTAGGGCATGAGGGTTTTTCACATTCTTTTGCTGTTACAGTGGTGCAACAAATACACTATGTAAATTCTTGTACATACTCAAACTGAGTGTCATCTTCGTGTTTATCCCACTGATATTTATTGATAATGACAACTGTGTAGTCTTAGTTTTGTCATGCTTATACTTTTTGCTTTTTCTTAATTTGAAAAATCTCTACATTATGTCTTGTTTACTTTTTTCATGTGCCTGTGTTTTCTAATAGTTTGGAAGGTTTGTGTGTGTGTGTTCTAGCTGTTACCTTTTTAACTACAATTTGATATTATCTACCTTATCTACGATATATACACAGTATTTTTTGAATCCCTGCTAAGAGCAATGATGAAATTGGCATATTTATACTTTTTTTCTTTTATTTTTCAGTTATTTTTCTTAGTGTTCACCCTTAAACCTTTAAATATACTTACATTTTATTTATCAGCTTTAACTTCTATCCTTGGACCTCTGGGTATAAGAGATGAGGGTATCAGTATGCCCATTTACATGCCAGTTTGTAACATTTACCTTCTGCTTTATAGTCACAATCCCTACATTTTTTCATTTTAGTGATATAATTAAATAGATTATAGCACACTATTTGTCCTTTTGTTAAAATTTGTATCTGTTGAATGGCATGAGTTCAGAAATGTTTGTCTTTCACCTTTATATTTGGCTGATAGTTTGGGCATAAAATTTGGAGTTAAGCTTTCTTTCCTTAAGAGTATTGTAGTCAGTGTTCATTCTTTTTTGTAAAAGGTTTATTTTTTGAGACAGGATCTTGCTCTGTTGTCTAAGCTGGAGTGCAGTGGCGTGATCATAGCTCATTGGAGCCTTCACCTCCCAGGCTCAAGCAGGCCTCCCATCTCAGCTTCCTTTGTAGCTGGGACTACAGGCACGTGCCACCATGCCCAGCTAATTTTTGTATTTTTTTTGTAGAGACAGAGTTTTGCCATGTTGCCCAGTCTGGTCTCAAACTCCTGAGTTCAAGTAATCCACCTGCTTCAGCCTCCTAAAGTGCTGGGATTACAGGCGTAAGCTACCATATGCAGCCCACACTTTTCTTCTTATCATTATTTCCCAAACAATACAGTATAACAACTATTTCCGTAGCATTTACATTGTATCAGGTATCATAGGTAATATAGAGATGATTTAAGGTACTCTTGAGAGGATGTGTGTAGGTCATATGCAGACACTATACCATTTGATATGAGGGACTTTTAAGCATCTTTGGGTTTTGGTGTCTTTGGGGGTCCTAGAACCAGTGTTCCCCATGGATACTAACTGTCTGTAAGCAAAGTAGAGATTTATTTGTTTGATTATAATGGTGGAAAATGAACGAATTTCTTTCTCTGTCCTTTACAGGAAGAAGTTCTAAAGGATTTTGAAGACTTGGCTGGAAAACTCCCATGGTCAAACCCCTTAAAAGTGTGGAAAATTAATGCCAGTTTTAAAAAGAAAAAAGCAAAGCGCAAAAAGATAAATCAGAATTTAAGTAAAGAGAAGATTAATAATGGACAAGAAGTCAAAATCAATCAGAGAAATGTTAAAAAAGAGTTCACTAGCCATGCTTTAGATTCTCATATCTTAGATTATTATGAAAATCCAGCCATCAAAGAGGACGTGTCAACATTAGTAGGTGATGATTTGGCATCTTCCAAAGATGAGACTGATGAAAGCTCAAAAGAAGAAACTGAGCCTCAAGTGCTAAAGTTTAGAGTCACATGCAACAGGGCAGGAGAGAAACATTGCTTTACCTCAAATGAGGCTGCAAGAGATTTTGGGGGTGCTGTTCAAGATTATTTTAAGTGGAAGGCTGATATGACCAACTTTGATGTGGAGGTAGGTATAGGCTCTGACTGTGGTGATTGAAGAGTGCTGTCACAGATTTGTAGAATTTTCAGACTAACCCAGTGTTATGCACAATTAAATTGAAATAGTAGGGTGTGGTTAAGAAGAGCATAGTCTTTGGAGACAGATTTAGATCCAAATTTTGACTCCACAACTGTATTAACTTTGGACTAGATAGTCTCTGAGTCTCTGTTTCAAATGGAGCCAATAATAGTATGCACCTTTAAAGTTATCCTGAAGGTTAAATAAGGTACATTTAAAATATTTGGTGCAATACCTTGCATACACTAAGTGCTCCGCAGATGGAAGCTATCAAGGTTGAGTTGTCTGTTTTCTTTTTCTTTTTCGAGACAGAGTCTTGCTCTGTCACCCAGGCTGGAGTGCAGTGGTATGATCTCAGCCTACTGCAGCCTCTACCTTCCTGGTTCAAGTGATTCTTGTGCTCAGCCTCCCAAGTAACTGGGGCTGCAGGCACATGCCACCACACCTGGTTAATTTTTGTATTTTTTAGTAGACATGGGGTTTCACCATGTTGGCTAGGCTGGTCTCGAACTCCTGTAGTGATCTGCCTGTCTTGGTCTCCCAAAGTGCCAGGATTACAGGCATGAGCCACCACACCTGGCCTGATTTCTAATAGAGTACTCTTTTACTGTATTATGTGGACTTTCATATTATAAAATTCAACCAGAATTAAAATAGTTATTTTGTTTTTGTGTGTCTTGGTTGCAGAGCTTTGCTACTGAAAAAATAAAATAAGGCTGGGCGCAGTGGCTCATGCCTGTAATCCCAGCACTTTGGGAGGCTGAGGCAGGTGAATCACTTGAGGTCAGGAACTCGAGACCAGCATGGCCAACATGGTGAAACCTGGTCTCTACTAAAAATACAAAAATTGGCCCGGTGTGATGGCATGCTCCTGTGATCCCAGCTACTGGGGAGGCTGAGGCAGGAGAATCACTTGAACCAGGGAGGTGGAGGTTGCAGTGAGCCGAGATCATGACACTGCACTCCAGCCTGGGTGACAAAGCAAGACTCCATCTCCCAAAAAAAAAAAAAGAAAAGTGCGTTTTTTAAACAAACCCTGACCTTCTCAAATCAGGACATCTTTGCTAATACTCGTCGTAGAGTCAGCTCTCCTCTTTCTTAAAGTCTGCTAGATTTCCAAAGCCAGGTACCTCATTTTAGTATGTTTACTTTCCTTGGTCTTAATCCTCTTTTACCTAGGTGATTGACATGTGAGCCATAGGAACTAGAGTCGTTAAGACTCTGACAGCTTAAAACGTCTATAGCAGCTGATGTATTTACCAAAGAGCCAATTTCTGTTGCTTTTGGTACACTTGAATCTGGGTCAAGTCACTGATTCTAACTTTTTTGTGCATGTCAAATCAGTAGTCTAATTCCCCATTCCTTTTTTTCCTCATATACTGCCATGAAAATGAATAGGTGGCTCACACCTGTAATTCCAGTACTTTGGGAGGCCGTGGCAGGCAGATTGCTTGAGCCTAAGAATTCGAGACCAGCCTGGGCAAAACAGGGAGACCCTGTCTCTACTAAAAATAAAAGAAATTTTTTAAAAAAGAAAATGAATAGGTTAACTAGAACAGTGATGTCTAAAAGTTAGCAAGGTGATTCAGAGGACAGTTTCTGGAGCCGTGCCGCATTGGGTTAAATCCCAGAGGAGGCTGGGTGTGGTGACACATACCTGTAATCCCAGCACTTTGGGAGGTCGAGATTGGAGGATTGCTTGAGGCCCGGAGTTCAAGACCAGCCTAGGCGACATAGGGAGACCTTGTCGCTACAAAAAAAAAATAGCTGAGTATGATGACATACGCCTGTAGTCCCAGGTACTTGGGAGGCTGAAGTAAGAGGATCGCCTGAGCCTAGGAAGTCCAGGCCACAGTGATCTGTGATTGTGCCACTGCACTCCATCCTGGGCAACAGAGACAAACCCTGTCTCAAAAAAAAAAAAAAGGAATTTCAGAGGAGCTGTCTTTGTGCCTCAATATCCTCTTTTATAAGGGGAATAATACCTAGCTTAGGGGATGTGAATATGAGATGAGGCCATGTATGTAAATGTGTAGAATAGTGCTTTGCATTAGGAAGTACTATGAGTGTCAGCCGTGCTTCTGCTGTGGTTAAGCCCAGGAAATCTTTCGGTGAAAGATTGGGTAACAGTTTAGTTTAGTTCACTTTTGAGACAGGGTCTCGCTGTATCACCCAGACTGGAGTGCAGTGGTGCAATCGTGGCTCACTGAAGCCTTAACCTCCCAGGCTCAAGCTATCCTCCCACCTCAGCCTCCCGAGTAGCTGGAGCTACGGGCATGTGCCACCCCACTCAGTGTAATAAGACTTTTTATTTGAGACTTTACCAATTTTTAAAACTTTTTTGTTGAGATATACTTTGCATTAAGTACACAAATCTTAAGTGTACACTTCAGTAAGTTTTTACTTATATACACGATGTGTAACTAGCATCCAGATAAAGATACAAAGTATTTCCAGTACCTCAGGGGCTCCCCTTGCCCTTTGCCAGTCAGTACCCACTCAAGGCAATCACTAATCTGCTACCACCAAAAATTAGTTTTGCCAATTTTTGTACTTCATATAAATGAAGTCATATAGTATATACTTTTTGTCGTTCATTTTAACATCTATTATTTTCTTTTAATTCACTATATTTATTGGCTACAACCACCAGATGTCACCCCAATTTTTATAACACAAACATATTTTGAAGGCTTAGAGGTTTTTTAATATGTATTTTTTAAATGTCTTAAATTTTTAGACAGTTCTGGGCTGTGGTGTGCTATGCTGATCAGGTGTTCGCACTAAGTTTGGCATCAATATGGTGACCTCCCAGGAGTAGGGGACCGGCCCAGGTCAGAAAAGTCTTACTACAAAGTGCAGTTTGAACAATCCTAAAACTATTTTGTCTTGTTCCACTTTACTATAGGTTCTTTTGAACATCCATGATAACGAAGTCATTGTGGGCATTGCATTGACTGAAGAGAGTCTCCACCGAAGAAATATAACACATTTTGGACCTACAACTCTTAGATCAACTCTTGCCTATGGGATGCTCAGGTAAGAAAATGAGTTTGCCGTCCAGCTTAAAGTGGCACCTTGGTTTGAATGTTCCCTTCCAAAATACTGATTTGTGTGTATGTGTGTTTGAGGTACTGTGTTGGAATTAGTGGATAAAGAAAGGAAAGCTAATGATCTATTTCTTTCCCTTCTATCCAATATTGACTCCTTGTGATCTGAAAATGCTGCTTAATAGGTGGCTCAGTTTTCTTTCTTTCTTTTCAGTTTTCTTTATTTCATTTTTTGAGACAAAGTCTCACTCTGTCGCCCAGGCTGGAGTGCAGTGGTGAGATCTCAACTCACTATAACCTCTGCCTCCCGGCTTCAAGTATTTCTCCTGTCTCAGCCAAGTAGCTGGGATTATGGGCGCCTGCCACCACGCCCAGATAATTTTTGTATTTTTTAATAGAGACAACATTTCACCATGTTGGCGAGGCTCGTCTCAAATACCTAACCTCGGGTGATCCACCCGCCTCTGCCTCCCAAAGTGCTGGGATTACAGGTGTGAGCCACCGCACCCAGTTTTCTTGATTTTAAAATGAGAGTGATAGTTTTCACCTACCTCTTGAATGCAGTTACCACATTTCTGTTTAGCAAGGATATGTGTGTTGGGAGATAGAGCAAATTTTGCTGTTTCATTTCTGTGCAGTGAAAAAGATGAAAGCAGATATTTGTATTTGTGTAAAGTGTAAATGAACAGAAAGAGCCTTTACTTATATTTTTAAGCTTTATACTCACAGCAACCCAGGAATCATCCTAGAATTTTTCACTTTTCAGAGTGCAAGACCTATCTTTCCTTCTCCTTTGCCCTTCTCTCTTTTATTGGGTGCTGCTTTTCACCACTTGAAAATGTTTATTTTCTCTAAGCTTCTGTTTTCCAGATGGCAAAATGAATTTGATATGAGACTTAAAGGATTATTAGTGAGGATTACATGCTGAAGCATATGCAAAATACCTATTATATACAGTGCCTGGTATGTCCTGGTAGTTTTAAGTCCAGTCATGCATCACTTAACAACAGGGATGCATTCTGAAAAATGTGTCATCGTGCAATTTCATCATTGTGTGAACCTCATGGAGTGTACTTATACAAATCTAGATGGTGTAGCCTACTACACACCTGGGCTATGTGGTATCTTCTATTGCTTCTGGGCTACAAACCTGTACAGCATGTTATTGTACTGAATATTGTAGTCAGTTATGATGTAGTGGTAAGTATTTGTGTATCTAAACATACAAGGGGTAGGGTAAAAATATGGTGTTCTAATTACTGCATTCATATATTTGGTCCACCATTGATTGGAAGATTGTTATGCAGCACCTGACTGTATTCCTTTTGTTCCAATCTTTTATCTTCCTAACATATTAATTCAATGACAATAATAGAAAATTGGGCCCATTTGATAAAGGAAAATTTTCTAGTCTTCATTAATTTAACAAATATGCATTATCTACTGCTAGGCATATGGTAGAAACCAGGGATAGACAGGGTATTATTTTGCGTGCAAATATTAAAAACCTAAGTAAACAAGTTTAGGATAAAAAAGTGATGATTGTGCCAGGGAGGGTTTTTTGGAAAGATAAAGAGAAATCTTGGGGATTCTACAGAAAAACTGAATGTTGGTTCTCAGGAATGGTAGGAACCACATCTTGGAAAACCGCCAGAAATGTGGGCAGCCATTTTTATCTCCCCTTAGAGCCTGTGGACTCTTGTCGCTTCTCATCTACATGCTTTCTCATCTAAATTTATGTATTTCCAATTCCAAACGACCAACCCACCTTGCGTAGGGCTTTTTTTTTTTTTTTTTTTTTTTTTTTGAGTGCAGTGGCCGGATCTCAGCTCACTGCAAGCTCCGCCTCCCAGGTTCACGCCGTTCTCCCGCCTCAGCCTCCCGAGTAGCTGGGACTACAGGCACCCGCCACTTCGCCCGGCTAGTTTTTTGTATTTTTTAGTGGAGACGGGGTTTCACCATGTTAGCCAGGATGGTCTCGATCTCCTGACCTCGTGATCCACCCGTCTCGGCCTCCCAAAGTGCTGGGATTACAGGCTTGAGCCACCGCGCCCGGCCTTGCGTAGGGCTTTTAGCTCTTTGTTCCAAATTCCTGGAAGAGAGAATCTGATTGACATTGTTTTGGTCAGTTATTCACCCCTGATCATCAGGAATGGCTTGGAGTACAGGGTGCTTACCCCCTTAAGAGGGTTGCCAAGGATTCTGTTGCCATGTGTTGAGGAGTAGGAACAAGGACATAGAGCAGGACCAATGTTACAATAAGAACCCACTATTAACCCCAAGAATCTGTCTTATGAGGGAGATAAACAGTTATCATATATGTGATAAGTCCCACACCAGCACATGAAAAGATGAGAACAAGAGAAGGGAAGAAACCTACTGACCTGTTTCAGGGTGGGATGCTTCATAAAGAGGATAACACTTAAGCCATTAACAGTAATGCCTCTGATCTTGAATCTGTTACCTACTGGTTTTGTGTCCCTGGGCAGGTAACTTCATGTTTCCTTGCATCAGCTTACCTTTAAAACGAGAATAATGATAATTATCTAACAGGGTCATTACTGAGGATTCCGTGAGATAATGCATGGAAAGAGCTTAAGTCCTTGCCCAGCAAATACTAAGTGCTCAAAGTAAAGCATTTTTTTCCTTTTTTTATTACCTAGTCCCACAGAGCAATTTTTTTATGTCAAGATTATTATCTTTAAATTCAAAAGGAAAGGAATACTGAATGTCTCATTGCCAGTATCCTTATATTGATGCATGTTTGACTTGAGACATTTTTGAGTCTATTTAATGTAATACAGGTTTCTATTGAAAACAACACTGTTGTCTAAAAGTATGCATGTGTGTGGTGTGTCTGTGTGTGTACATGTGTGTACTTTAAGATGTCTGCAAACCAACTTTCATCTGAGAGTGAAATGGGATTTAGTTATATGTAATGATTTTTTTTCCCGAGTAATAGAATATACAGTCAACATATCATTAAAAATTTATTATTTATTTATTTATTATCTTTTTTTTTGAGACGACGTCTTGCTCTGTCACCCAGGCTGGATCTTACATGATCTTGGCTCACTGCAATCCCTACCTTCTGGGTTCAAGCAAGTTTCAGCCTCCCTACTAGCTGGGATTACAGGCACCCGCCACCACGCCCAGCTAATTTTTTGTATTTTTAGTGGAGACAGGTTTCGCCATGTTGGCCAGGCTTGTCTTGAATTCCTGACCTCAAGTGATCCGCCTATCTCAGCCTCCCAAAGTGCTGGGATTACAGGCGTGAGTCACCGTGCCCAGCCATAAGTTGATTTTTAAAATGTGTAGATTGGTGTTCCTTCAGGCTAGTGTGATAGGTCCTCAAACTTACAGCTTCAGGAATCATCAGTACAGAAGCCTCAACTTTTGGGTGAGTCTTCACATAGGCTGTTTTCTTTTCTCTAGGCTCTGTGATCCTCTACCTTATGATATAATAGTTGATCCGATGTGTGGAACTGGGGCAATACCAATAGAGGTAATCATATTTCTTTAGCTTTTAGATAAGAGTGATACATCCAGAATATTCAAGACCCAGTGGGCAAATTAGACATAATGAAATCTCCATGGTTGGATCAGTGGACCTAAGAGTTTTAAATTAACAATAGAAAAGTTGGAACTTTTTTGTAAAGAATGTAACTACTTATTTCTTTACAAAATAAGGCAATTTTCTTCTTTGTAATCCACTTAAGTTCCTAGAGGGAATAAGTATAGTTGTAAAAAGGGGAAACTTATGAATATTACTTGGATTTTTTAGGAAGTCTGACAAGCTTAATACCAAATGCTCTTAACTAGTTTTCAAAATTACCGTGATATTGAGAGGACTTATAACAACTGTATAAAGCAAAGCAAGAAATGGAAAGGCATTTTCTAAATGGAGAATATTTCACAGTAGAGTCCCCTGAATAATCAGTATCATCTATATGTTTTTAAACAATTTAGAAGAGGGAGCTCCCGGTAAAGTCACTGAAGTTTGTATGAAACATAGTAGTTCTTCCCTATAGTATACTGAAAGCCAATTTGAATAAACTGCAGGGAGACACCGCAGATTATATGACTGGGTAGAAACTGGACAGATGAGCAAGTCCAAAGCAAGACCACCAGGGGAGAAATAATCCAAACTGTAATTAGAAAATGTTATCTGTGTTCTGGGAGTTAAAATCCAAGAGTGAAATCGTAGAAGTCTACATGATGACTGTGTTCTGTGAGAGCTAGAGAAATTACTGTGGCTTAAAGAGACTGCACAGTAAAAACCCAATCCTTCTTGTGACCAAGAAGGATTCTGGGAACAAAGCAGAGTGTTGTTTTCTAGTGTGAAATCATGATATGTGTATGAAATAGCAGGTAAAGTCACTGCATGTCAAGAAATACACAACAGAGCTCCGGGTGAAAATAAAGGCCAAAAAAATTAAAACATGAAGTTTGAGCCATTTCCATGTAAGAGTAGACATGCACATGTCAGTGTAGAAAAACTTAAGCTGATATGTGATCAAAATGAATAAAATTATGAAGAAATTGACAAGGTATATATAAAGATTTATTCACCAAAGTATAAAATACTTGATCTAGAATACTTTTTTTTTTTTAATTTAGAAGTGTTACACTGTAAAACCCAATTCTTTCCAATGCTGAAAATCCAAATAGGTTTAGGAGGAAAAAAAAAATTTTGGGGAATCAGAATCACTGAGAGGCTTCCTCAAACTCTGGGTCCCCTCTACATCCCCACCCACCCAAACTTCTGGGATACTTCAACTTCCTTTTTGTTTGAAGTCATCGTAGGATTGTAGACAGGAGTATGTCATCACCCTCAAGTGTCTGGGCAAAAGAAAAACTTATGAAGCACTGTACTCATGGATGAGAAGTATGTTACTGTTCACAAAGGAACACAAAGGTGTTTGCTACTCACCCCTAAGCAGAGGCAGACTTTTCCCAGCTTTCATGTCAGAAACCTTCTGTTAATCTGCATAGAACATTGTTCAGGCCTAAGGTCACATGTCACCTCATTCCACAAATGATATGTGACAACTTGGTATTTATGTTCTGCTGACAGGTTTTTCATTTAAAATTACAAAATCCTTCCAGTGATATGGTGGTTACCATTCAAAAGCCTATCATACAAAGGAAATTGCATTTTTTTATTATTTTTTTTTTGACCTGGGGTCTTGCTCTGTCAACCAGGCTGGAGTGCAGTGGTGTGATCTCAGCTCCCTGCAACCTCTGCCTCCCTGGCTTAAGCCATCCTCCCACCTCAGCCTCTCGAGCAGCTGAGACTCAGGTGCACACCACCACGCCCAGCTGATTTTTGTGTTTTTGTAGAGATGGGGTTTCGCCATGTTCCCAGGCTGGTCTCAAACTCCTGGGCTCAAGAAATCCTCCTACTTCAGCTTCCCAAAGTACTGGGATTTCAGGTTTGAACCACCATGCCCAGCTGGAAATAGCATTTTATTTTGCAGTTCTCAAATATATCAGATTATGTAAACTCCCACAACCACAAAAGAGTATAGGTTTGATCAGTTTAATTTGGTTAATATTTTCAAACCGCATTTACTTAGAATTTATTTAGTGTGCCAGACGCTGCTGGATGAGGAACTGAAGAAAATACTAGACCTGACCTCAGAGAGCTCCCAGGTTAGTTGGGAAGCGCAAAGGGGAAGAAATAATTAACAGTGGAACAAGTGCAGTGGCAGAGGTACCTACATACAAAGTGCTTTTGGGAGCGGCACATAAGACTGCTTGGAGAGTTAAGGTTGGTGTCGAAAGGGCATGAGTTTTGAGCTGGGTCTTACGAGATGGGTAGTGGTTCAGCAAGCAGAGAAAGAATAAGAGGGCATTTTCAGCCAGGGAAATAGCACAGTTGACAACATGCAGTGTTTTGCCATTCTAGAGAAGCACTGGATTCTCTTTGTTTCTTGACAATTTAAATACTCACATTTTGCAGTTTGCTACTTTTGTTTTAACATATACTCTTACCTTTTAGGGGGCTACTGAATGGACTGACTGTTTCCATATTGCTGGTGATAATAATCCACTGGCTGTGAATAGAGCAGCAAATAACATTGCATCTTTATTGACCAAGAGCCAAATTAAAGAAGGGTAAAAATTTAAAAGATTTCTTAGCATCTTTTAGAGTTAGAGAATCATTTTTTATATTGACTTTATGAATTAAAACTCCCAGTGCATTGTGACATCATTGTTACGAAAATGAATACACTGAGACTCCATTTACATTTTTAAAGTTTATTGAAAATAATTATATTTTAAAAACATTATTTTAGCTATAATTTCCCCACCATATGCAATTTTTCATTTCTGTCTTATTCATATGTCTTTTCCCCCACATACTGGAAGAATATAGATTCATTTTAATTTCACAAAATTTTAAACACTGTATTTTTACATAGGCTTCTTTTTTGCTTTGGGGACAGGGTCTCATTTTGTCACTCAGGCTGGAGTGCAGTGGCATGATCATGGCTCACTGTAGCCTCAACCTACTGGACTCAAGCAGTCCTCCTGCCTCGGCCTCCCTAGTAGCTAGGAATACAGGCATGTGCCACCATACCCAGCTAATTTTTTAAATTCTTCATAGAGATGGGGGTCTTGCTGTTTTGTCCAGGCTGGTGTAGAACTCCTGGCCTCAAGAGATCCTCCCGCTTCAGCCTTCCAAAATGCTGGGGTTAGAGACACGCGTCACCACACCTGGACCATAGTCTTTTAAAGTCACTACATAAATTCCATCGTACAGAAATACTGCAGTTTATATATACTTCTCCTCTGTTTTATTACTAAGTCATTGGTTATATATTTCATTGTCTCTCTGATCTAATTTTTTAGGACAGTGCTTTTCAAACATTAATGTACATGTGAATCACCTGGGAGTACTGTTAACACAGATTTTGATTCAGTAGTTTGGGATGGGATCTAAGAGTCTGCATTTTCCAGGAAACTCTGGGACAATGCTGATGCTGCTGGTCTATGGATCAACATTCAATCCTTTTACATATATTAAGACTAGTTGGAAGGTTTCAATTTTCTTAAATACTGATTTATTTTATTGTGATGAATTAATTTTGAATGGTTCTTTCATGTTTATTGAGTTTATTTTTTTATGAGCCTAGTATATGGCCAGTCTTTTTTTTTTTTTAATTAAAACTGATAAACATTTAAACAAACTTTCTTTTCTAGCTTCTGAATATTTTATCTTGTTTGTATCTACACTTTTTGTCTATTCAACCTGTACTTTTTTTTTTTTTTTTTGAGACCGAGCGCTCCGCCTCCTGGCTTCACGCCATTCTCCTGCCTCAGCGCTCCAGAATAGCTGGGACTACAGGCGCCCACCACCATGCCCAGCTAATTTTTTTTTAGTATTTTTAGTAGAGATGGGTTTTCACCCTGTTTCATCCTGTTAGCCATGATGGTCTCGATCTCCTGACCTCATGATCTGCCCGCCCTGGCCTCCCAAAGTGCTGGGATTACAGGCGTGAGCCACCGTGCCTGGCCTCAACCTGTACAGTACTTTCTATTCATTTTACTTTGGTTTTTAATATTTTTTGCCTTACGCTTTGTTTTGTGCAGTTATTCATATGTGGTTGTAATACATATTTTATATGTACTTTAAAAAATTATGTAGTGATTGCCTTTATTGCATTTTTTTCTTAAATTCTTCATTAAATGTCAATTAAATCCTTAATTTCTGCTGATAGCCTTTGACTTACCTTCAGTTCTTAGCCTGTGCATTATTTTGTTTCTTAAACCAGTTACTTTGCCTTAATGGGGAGGATTTAAATCCTTTGTATTTATTATTATTCATTCTGTCTTCTGTCATCTATATTTTTTATCTTAACTTTTTTCTTAGTCTTGTTTTATATAGCATGGTACATATATTTCCTTTTGGTTTTTCATCTTAAAACAATTACCTATATATTTACCAATTTTACATATCTGTTTTTCTTTTAGGTCTCCTGTTATTACTAGTTTTACAAACTTTATTTTTCAGATACGTCGCCCCATAATCTTTTCTTTAGTGTGCTTGATTTTTCCAGTGTATTTTTTATCAGCAACTTAATTTTTATATCATCGGTTATGTAATTTACTGCTTCGGCATTGTTTTTAAAGTTGTCTTTTGCAGTTCTTTGCATTACAATCATGTTTTCAGTTTGTTTTCTTTTTTTCTGAGACGGGGTCTTGCTCTGTCACCCAGGCTGGAGTACAGTGGCACAATCCTAGCTCACTTCATCTTTCAACTCCTGGGCTCAAGTGGTCCTCCCACCTCATCCTCCTGAGTAGCTGGGACTATAGGCGTGTGCCATCATGCCTTGCTAACTTTAAAAAAAAAAATTTTTTAGAGACAAGGTCTCACAGTGTTGCGCAGCTGGTCTCAAATTCCTGCACTCCAGTGATCTTCCCACCTCAGCCCCTGAAAGTGCTGATTATAGGCACGAGCACCATGCCCAGCCTGACCTTCTATTTTTTACCTTTGTGCCACTTCTTAAATTTTGAATAGGTCGATATTATCACTGATATTCTTAGCATTTTATATTTTGCTGTAGCAGTCTCTTTTCAGAAACAAAAATTGTTGTAACGATTTTATGCTTCACAATATGTTGAAGCACCTTTCCTTTGTCCCCACAGCAAACCATCCTGGGGCTTGCCCATAGATGCTGTTCAGTGGGATATCTGTAATCTGCCATTGAGAACTGGTTCTGTGGATATTATTGTAACAGATTTGCCATTTGGAAAAAGGTGAGAATTGGTTGGTTTTTTTTTTAAATGAATTTTACTTTCACTTGTTATACTACTATCTGCAAGACTTCTAAATATGTCATTATTTTCCTTGTGTTTATTCTGTCAGGAAAAAAATCTTGAATTTTAGCAGACTTAGCAGAGCTGTTTTTCACTGAACAACATGATGGATTCACCCATTATGTTTCTTCTGTGAACTCTCAGGAATGTATTAACTACATTTTGAATCCTGACCATCATAGGAGGTTCATTTTTAAATTACCTATAATTCACTTTTTAGCCCATTCTTGAATTATATATTTTACACAAAAAGGTGGTGGAAGACTTGGTTCTGATTCTGTTTCTCAGCATAAATGATTTTTCTTTTTTTTTTTTTCTTTTTTTGAGACAGAGCCCCGTTCTGTTGCCCAGGCTGGAGTGCAGTGGCATGATCTCGGCTCACAGCAACCTCTGCCTCCCGGGTTCAAGCGATTCTCCTGCCTCACCCTCCTGAGTAGCTTGGATTACGGGCACGTGCCATCATGCCCAGCTAATTTTTGTATTTTTAGTTAAGATGGGGTTTCACCATGTTGGCCAGGCTTGTCTCAAACTCCTGACCTCAGGTGATCCGCCCGCCTCAGCCTCCCGAACTGCTGGGATTACAGGCATGAGCCACCAAAACACCCAGCCTAAATGATTTCTAATCACTTGTTTGGTTGATATAGTTTGACTGCTTATTAAACTCACTAAGAGGGCAAGTTATATAACATAGTTGTCAAAAAAAATTATTTTTGATTCAGAATTCTAAGCAGTTTACTAACTCAGCTTATTTCATTGACATGTAATGGCAAAGGTCTGGTTTCTAAAACTACAGCTGTTTTTCATGCCTCAGGATGCATGAAACTTTTGTTTCATATACTCCTTCTATTTTGTATCTTTTGCAACAGTATTTGACTCACTAGTCCTTCTATTATAGGATGGGATCCAAGAAGAGAAATTGGAACCTTTATCCAGCTTGCCTACGGGAGATGAGCCGTGTCTGCACACCTACCACGGGCCGAGCTGTACTACTTACTCAAGACACAAAATGCTTTACCAAGGTGCTATACACATTAGCTCAAAATCGCAGCCTCTGGCAACTTTGGGATCTTTTTGAGCAGATTTGGGGATGTTTGTTTGGATAAGATTTGTTTTCTCTTTCCCTGAGGTTTCTTATCAGGCAGCTAAGAATCCTGGTTGGTGTAAAAGTAGATTGTCAACCTAATTGCTGTGGTTTTTGTGTGTACACAGGCATTATCTGGAATGCGACATGTATGGCGAAAGGTGGATACGGTCTGGGTGAACGTTGGTGGCCTTCGTGCTGCAGTTTATGTACTGATACGTACACCTCAAGCTTTTGTTCATCCTTCAGAACAAGATGGAGAAAAAGGAACTCTTTGGTAATACAAAGGATGAAGATGACTAATAGTACTTGTACTTCCCACCACTGGAAATGTTAGCATAAAGAACTTGCAGAGAAAAATAGTATTAACAAAAGTGCAGTCTGCACTCTTTAAACCTGTTTAAGGCTCTTCATCCTGGTTAGCAAAAGGTGTGAATGTAATGTGATGGAATTTAAAAGTTTTATGAGACCAGGCACAGTGGCTCACGACTGTAATTCCAGCAGTTTGGGAGGCTGAAGTGTGCAGATCACCTGAGGTCCAGAGGCCAGCCTGGCCAACATGGTGAAACCACGCCTCTTCTAGAAATACAAAAATTTGTCGGGTGTGGTGGTGGGCGCCTGTAATCCCAGCTACTCAGGAGGCTGAGGCTAGATAATCACTTGAACCCGGGAGGTGGAGGTTGCGGTGAGCCGAGATCACACCATTGCACTCCAGCCTGTGCAACAAGAGTGAAACTCCGTCTCAAAAAAAAAAAAAAAAAAAAAATTTTATAAGAAAGAGCTTTTCCTTGAAGCTCTTGTGAAGTGGTAGCTTAATTAGTATTTTGTTGAAAATACTTTCAAGATGCCTAGTGAAAAGCCTACTAAAGTGCTCTGAGATTGGAGTTTAGAACATTTTATTTTCAGGCTTTATAGCCTATTTTCCATTGTGTCAAGTGCAAAGCTACTCTGGCCTAAAGGAAAGGCAGAGAACATAATTACATCTTAGGCCACATTTCATTGTCTTTGCAGCTTTGCTAATCCAGTCGTTCAAGTTCTTTACCTCAATCTGAAGGAATGAAGCATTACATTTTGTGAATGGTGTTCAGCCTGTAAGACAAAATCTCACAAGACCTATAGGAAAGTTTACCATCTGCCTTAAATATTAAAATATCCATCTGTTACTCAGATTAACACATAGAACGAAAATAGAGGTCTAGAAATTATCAAAAGGTACTGCAAAAATACTGTTAGTATAGAACATTTCTATTTGTAAATAGCACATACATTGATAGATGGGGTATGGGACCAACAAACCAAATTAAAAGAAATTGTTTTTCTTTCAGTACACTAAGGTGTGTTTTCAAAACCAAACACAAGCCCGTCAGAGTATTTGTTGGCTAGTTTTTTTTTTTTTTTTTTGAGGCGGAGTCTTCACTCTATCGCCCAGGCTGGAGTGCAGTGGCACCATCTCGGCTCACTGCAAGCTCCGCCTCCCGGGTTCGCGCCATTCTCCTGCCTCAGCCTCCTGAGTAGCTGGGACTACAGGCGCCCGCCACCGCGCCCGGCTAATTTTTTGTATTTTAGTAGAGACGGGGTTTCACCGTGTTAGCCAGGATGGTCTCGATCTCCTGACCTCGTGATCCGCCCGCCTCGGCCTCCCAAAGTGCAGGGATTACAGGCGTGAGCCACCGCGCCCGGCCTGTTGGCTAGTTTCTTAAAAGGCCAAGAGAAAAAAGCTGATGTTATCTTTGGAAAACTTTTGGGAGTTACGTGAGTTTGTTACTTTCTCCTGGATCACTATTCACATTTAATTGCTTTTCCAGTTCCAACAAGTCCTTCTTGAGAGTTTTGTGGAAAATGGTGCTTCCCTGGAACAAAGAGTAGTTGAGGTTTTTTGTGGAACTCATCATAGTATTATTTGGAGCCTCTGGCTGCATGCATTCAGGATACATTTTCAGTATCCTATTAATATAATAGTACTCCTCTTAATGCTTTTTGATGTCTCCATTGAGAATAAAAGGACACAATACCTTCGAAAGAAGAGTTCACATTAGCAGCACAGCCAGCAATCTTCATCTGGTTTCTCTGATCTCCTACCCCACGCTTCATAATGAATGGGAAATAAGATGTTTCTGAAGATTTTATATCCTAGACTGGCCATTTTGCCACTATCAGAATTCCCAGCTGCTTTATTTATGGGCCGAACACAAAACTTTTCACCTGATGGAAGAAACCATTTAAACCTCAAATTAAGCAACCCACAGAACCAGGAAATTCAAGGACCATGTCTGTTTTCACCACGATGTCTTTTTTTTCCCCCACTAGGTGCGGGGTACTGTATCTGCCAGAGTGGGTATTTGTTGAACAAACGAATATTTTTGCCTACTAGCTTAGTTTTTAAGGAAGTAATTTTTTACTTGATTCATCATAGCTTTAATCCTATTAAATACTACAATAAAAATTTGACAAGACTGACGCAAATATGTGGTGGGCAATAGTTTGCCATCTTCTTCCCTAGTATAGTGTTTTTCAATCTGGTGACTAGAATAGGCAATGGGCTATTAGCAGGATTCATAAGGCCTAGAGTTGAGTTATATGTGACATTGCCACCTATTCATTATGTGACCTTGGGTTTTAACCTTCAAAGTGGGTCTCCCTGGACTAAAAGAATGTGAAAAGACGGGGAAAGGAATCTGTAATCTGAACATGGAATGACTGAGTTACAGACCAGACATTGTTATTGGGAATGAAAAAGTCAATATATTTGAGGGGAAAAAATGTAAACATTGAGAAAGATTTTATAAATCTAATTAGGGGAAGATAGTTATCTCCCAATACTAGAGTGTACCAGAGTGCTTTTAAGGGGAACATTTGGTTACCCTTATGTCTTTTAAAATGGCAGTTTAGGAAATTCTGCCCAGTAGGCCCAATGTCAGATAGGACTCAGGTCTCCAATGCAAAGACCAAAATGTTAAGTTGAAGACTGAAAATGGGAAGATTTGGAAGGGTCTTTGGAACCTCAAGCACATTAAAGCTTGTAAGTGCTTCATATTCATTAATAACCTAGGCATAGAAGGCCGGGCGCGGTGGCTCAAGCCTGTAATCCCAGCACTTTGGGAGGCCGAGGTGGGTGGATCACAAGGTCAGGAGATCAAGACCATTCTGGCTAACACGATGAAACCCCGTCTCTACTAAAAAATACAAAAAACTAGCCAGGTGAGGTGGCGGGCGCCTGTAGTCACAGCTACTCACGAGGCTGAGGCTGAGGCAGGAGAATGGCGTAAACCTGGGAGACAGAGCTTTCAGTGATCTGAGATCCAGCCACTGCACTCCAGCCTGGGCGACAGAGTGAGACTCCGTCTAAAAAAAATAATAATAATAACCTAGGCATAGAAAAAAGATACCCTTACTTTCAAGCATAGCCTTTACAAGTTCATGTTAGATGTCATGAAGTTTAGTGAGGAGTAAATCTATGAGAAAAACACGAACCATTCTACTCTGGCAAAAGTTCAGAAGAAACACCATAGACAGACCTGTATACCAAATTTTAAAACATGTTGAATAATGTGAAAAAAAGTATCACATTATGAAAGGCTTTCCTGTCGCCCCTTAATATTTTTGTCTCAGGCTAACATGTTTGTTAATGAGTTACAGTGGTGAAGTTAAGGAAATCGGCTTCCTGTCATAGCATGCCCATTATCCCAGCCATACAGGTTTAATACCGGGATTCACTGTAACTCGATGAAGTCATTCAACAGGTACGTGAATATTTATTTTGTGTGTTGTGCTAGAGTAGCCATTTCTTAAACTTTGTGGCCTCAGAAAATCCCTTCACATTCTTAAAGATTGAGGGCCCCAAATCACTTTACTAGTATTTTACCATATTAGTAAAATATTTAAATATTATAGCAACAAATGCATTAAAACATTTTTAGTATATGTTTTTTGAAATAGGTGCGTTGTTTTACATTTTGGCAATTCGGTTTCCCTAAATGTCTGACTTAAATAGAAGACAACTAGATTTTTGTTTCTTTTGCATTCAATTGGTTACAATGTTACTTGCAGTTTTCTATAATCTCATGTATTATTCATTAGGAAAATATAGTTCACTGAGTTATGTAAATCTCCCAAATATTGGCCCATTTTACTGTACACTACCTAAAATGTCATTGGCCGGGCACGGTGGCTTAAACCTGTAATTCCAGCACTTTGGGAGGCCAAGGTGGATCAACTGAGGTCAGAAGTTCAAGACCACCCTGGTGTGTGTCTTGAACACACCCAAGGTGGATCAACTGAGGTCAGAAGTTCAAGACCACATGGTGAAACTCCATCTTTACTAAAAATACAAAAATTAGTAGCCGGGTATGGTGGTACGCGCCTGTAGTCCCAGTTACGCAGGAGGCTGAGGCAGAATTGCTTGAACCCAGGAGGCAGAGGTTGCAGTGAGCCAAGATCATGCCACTGCGTTCCAGCCTGGGTAACAGAGCAAGACTGTCTCAAAAAAAAAAAAAAAAAAATCATATTCAGTATCACTGTCTCATCAAGTATTGGGAAGCTGTCAACAAGTTCCTGATACTAGACACAAGTTTTCCCAAAATTCGGATTTTGACTCAGTGTTTGGATTTTATCATTGAAAACAATTGCTGTCAGTTGTTAGGCTCCAAGGAAATAATAGATAATTCAGCTTGCGTGAGTGCTTTTTCTTGAAACAACCATTTCAAAAAGTTACGTACTCAAAGGTTTAGATTTAACAAAATGTCACTGCTTTCACAAGGACAATCTTGAGTGAAACTGGTTTTCTTCTTTTGTGGGGGTTCCCACCACAAATGCATGGCAGTGAAGAATAACTTATAGTTTGATGCCACTGCCTCAGTTTGTGCCAAGGTGCCTGAAGTTTTACTTTTACCTACTGTTGTCTTATCACCACTTTTACAAATGTCAACATATAGTTTAGGATAAACCGTGAGATTTAAAAAAGTTATTCTACACTTGCATTATTTCAGGACATGTGTTTGTTGCCAAGCTTTCACGTAAGAGTATCTTTAATTAGTTGATGCTGATGCCTGGCAAATACAAGCCAAGTAACAAGTCCAGGCACGTTCACGCACACATCCATTTATAAGGTATAAGCACAGTCAGCCCTCCATATCCTCAGGTTCTGCATTTGCAGATTCAACCAAACTTGAAATATTTGAAAATATTTGAGAATATTTAATACAATAGTACAAATATAAATACACAATGTAACAACTATTTACATAGCATTCACATTGTATGAAAGTATCTAAAATCTGGAAATGATTTAAAGTATATGGGAGGATGTGTGTAAGTTGTATGGAGATACAGCGCCATTTTATATAAGGGACTTCAACATCCTTGGGTTTTGGTGTCCTCAGTGAATGGCCAGCAAGGGTGGGGGAGTGGTGTCCTGAAACCAATCCCAAGGCAAGGGACAAATGTATACTTCTACAGATGAGATATTAACTCAGAATTCATGTCTGCACACACATCTTTAATGACAAGTTGCTGTACCACTCAACAGTGGCACTACTGTGATCTTTTACTTACACTTCAGCCAGCAGAGACATTCAGCAATGTGAGATTTTTAAAGTTTCTCAGCTATTGTGTATGTTTCTAGAGTATAACAAAGTAACAGATACTTAAGTAGTGTTTTCATTTCTAGTTTTAAAACTTTTTTTTTTTTTTTTTACAGTAGTGGCATACCTGCATTAAAAAATAATACCTTACCAAAAAAAAAAAAAAAAAACTCTGAATGATTAGTTTCAAAATGATGCCACAACATAGGTGGCACCAACACTATTCAAAATTGTTCCATTCCCATCTCTAAAAAAATTTTTGGCCGGGTATGGCAGCTCACGCTTAACAACTCGACATTTTGGGAGGCAGGATCACTCAGGGCTAGGAGTTGAAGACTAGCCTGAGCAACATGGCAAGATCCTGTCTCAAAAAAAATTATGTAAAAAAATTTTTTTAAAGCCCAGACTTGGTGGTACATGCCTATAGCTCCAGCTATTCAGGAGGCTGAGGCAGGAATATCGCTTGAACCCAGGAGTTTCAGGCTGTAGGCTATGATGGTACCTGTGAACAGCCTGGGCAACACAGCAAGACCTCATCTCCAAAAAAAGGCAAAAGAACTAAATTATTCTACTGCAGACATGATAAGGTAAGTATCTCCAAAGTAGAATGACAGGTTTCATATTTTCATTAGTTTGAGTCAGTCCTTCCAAATCAATCTTGTTTTTTATTAGTATACAGATGGTATAGCCGATAAGTAAATGAGAAGCAGTCTTTTTAAGCCATCGATCCCTTCTTAAATGAGAAAAATATAAATATTTTAGAATAAAGTTATTCTAAAGTTGTAAAATTTTTAAATTTGGATATTCTGGGAAAATATTTAAACCACTATTGCAAACAAAACAAACAACAAAATGTACTTATGTTTATGCTTAGGCACATAAGAAAACTACAGTATTTTAAAATAACAATTGTAGAATATTGAGGTTGCAAAGATTACTGAAGGCATAACCTAAAAAGTGAGCTGATTTCTAAAAATGGGAAAAGGGGAAAAAAATAATTTCTAAAAACAAGTATGCATACCAAAACCTAACAACACCTTAGAAATTTCAGTACAGCACCATTCATTAACATCAATGAGGATGTCATCACACATCATGCAGTCTCTGTACACTGTCAGAATAAATGAAAAAGGCAGGCATCTTGCTATCATGACAATAGTTTTGATCTCGCAGACCTCTCTGTGCTTAGGCAACGGATAAAGCCATAAGAACTGTCCTGCCTGCAAGGAGCAACCTAAAGTAGGAAAAAAACAAAATTATACAATTATTATTTACAATTGTGAGAAGAGTTCTTGAAACATTCAGATGGAGGATACAGTGTAGTAGGGGTGAGGGTATCAAGACGGCTTCCTTGAGAAGTGATATTTTGAGACCATTCTCTCTTCTCAGTAACTGATATTTGGTTCCTGAATCCTTTAACTTCCTTACCATTGTCACTCCTAAGCCAAATCTCATTACCTCATGTCTAGACTACTGTTAAGAGAACCAATTAAGTGGTCTCTGTAGTCCTCAATTTATTGGTGTATCTATGGGAAAATTGCTCAAACTCTAAGCCTTAGTTTCCTACTCTGTAAAATGGGGTTGTATATATAAGGAACATACTAAATACACAGGTATACCTCAGAAACACTGCAGGCTCAATTCCAGAGCACTGCAATAAAGCGAATCTCATGAATTGGTTGGTTCCCCAGTGCATATAGTTATGCTTACACTATACCATAGTCTATATTAAAAGTGTACAGTAGCATTATGTGTAATTGATATACGTCACTGCCAAAAAAATGCTAACAATCTTTTTGCTGGTGGAGGGTCTTGCATCAATGTTAATGATGGCTACTGACTCATCAGGGTGGTGGTGGTGGTTGAAAATTGGGATAGCTGTGGCAATTTCTTAAAAGACAATGAAGTCTGCCACACTGACTTCCTTTCACAAGACTTCTCTGTAGCATGTGATGCTGTTTGATAGCATGACAGCATTTTACCCACAGTATAACTTTTTTTTTCTTTTCCTTTTTTTTTTTTTTTTTTGAGACTGAGTCTCGCTCTGTCGCCCAGGCTGGAGTGCAGTCAGCTCACTGCAAGCTCCACCTCCCAGGTTCACACCCTTCTCCTGCCTCAGCCTCCTGAGTAGCTGGGATTACAGGCATGTGCCACCACGCCCGGCTAATTTTTTGTATTTTTAGTAGAGACGGGGTTTCACTGTGTTAGCCAGGGTGGTCTCGATCTCCTGACCTCATGATCCACTCGCCTTGGCCTCCCAAAGTGCTGGGATTACAGGCGTGAGCCACTGCACCCAGCCCCCCTCTTTTTTTTTTTTTTTTTTAAAGACAATCTCACTTTGTTGCCCAGGCTGGAGTGCAGTTGTGCCATCTTGGCTCACTGCAACCTCCTCTTCCCTGGTTCAAGAGATTCTCCTGCCTCAGCCTCCCAAGTAGCTGGGACTACAGGTGTGCACCACCACACCTGGCTAATTTTGGTAGAGATGGGGTTTCACCATGTTGGCTAGGCTGGTCTTGAACTCCTGACCTCAAGTGATCTACCAGCCTTGGCCTCCCAAACAGCTGGGATTGCAAGCGTGAGCAACCACACCCAGCCAGTAGAACTTATTTCAAAATTGAAGTCAACTCTCTGACACCCTGGCACTGCTTTATCAACCAGGTTTCTGTAATACCTAAATCCTTTATGGTCATTTTGACAATGTTCACAGCAACTTCACCAGTAGATTCCATCTCAAAAAACCACTTTCTTTGCTCATCCCTAAGAAGCAACTCCTTATCCATTCAAATTTGATCATGAGATTGCAGCAATTCAGTCACATCTTCAACACTGTACTTCCAATTCTAGTTCTCTTGCTATTTCCACATCTGCAGTACACAAAAGGTATTCAGTAACTATTATTAGTTCATTTCTTCTACCGATGTCTCCATTAGCTTTTGCCTATAGTATGCACTAGAGTATGTTACCATTATTTGTTATTAGTACCACCTCATTATTACATTATTTGTAAGCAGTACCTGAAGGTCTGAGATTAGATTTTAAATCAAGGTCAGTAAAAATAGAAAAGGCTATGAAGACTGTTGACTGAGTTTACCAGAATCCATACACCAGAGGTGAGATTAGTTAGGTGATAAAATAACCATTCTATAAACATGATCTGAAACTATGTTACTATTGTCAGCAGGAAAAGTCAATTTTACATACGTTTAAAAAAGAAAAAAAAAAAAAACCCCAAAACCAGAAAACAAAAGGTGACAAAGTATCAGGACAAACAAAAGGTCACTGATGACTGATCTCTAGGAAAAAAGCTGGAAAGCAGGATTATTAAATGTAACCATGACTAAAATAAAAATCAGAGGCAGAAAGTGTTTGTCACCAAGAAGATACACTGCATAACAGAAGCAGAAACAATTCATCAGGATTAACCCTAGTCTAGATAAAACTATTTGATTCAGTACTAACACGTCTCTAATAATCCAATATATTATCCAATCTCAAGAAGAGAGAGTCACGGATAAGAAGTCGTCTTGAGAAGTATGTCCTCTAATATAAACTAATATGCCACTAAGAAAGCAACCTGCAAGTCCAGTACCAGACTTCTGGATTTGTGACCTAACAAGGTGCTCTACAATTAACCTAATAGTCAAACTAGAGTGTTGCAAACCAGAATTATATAATTATGCCAAACCTCCATTCACAAAAAATATATGGAAGTAACCTATCTAGTTTAAATTTTGCAAATCTAACACACACACACTAGCCCTCACTAAACTTTCACCAGCTTTCTCATGCAAGTACAAGTGTGTAATATACTTAATAAATTTGTCTTACAAGGGTAAGTAGTAGTATGTAACTACTTGAAAAGGAGATAGGTAGCTGGTTAATTTAAACAAAAAGCCCAAGGAAGTAAAGCACAGGAAAAGGATAACTGCAATGGTTAATACAGGAAACCCAAAGAACTGAATGGTGGGATAGATGTTTTCAGAGACCACGAGGCATCAGTTTCCTCTATGAATAGAATATTAGGAGACACAGGTTAAATGTGACCCTGAAGTCTCTCCCAAAAAGTAGCCTTGTTTATATGTTTTGTGAGCTTAACTATTACTGAAGAATCAATTTCACATATAAACCAACAAAACTAACATTTATTGAGCTCCCAGCTCCGTGCTTAGGCACTGAAAAACAAATCACTTTCCTTAAGGATTGCAATTAAGCAGGAGAAACACAAATAAGGTGAACTTCTCTTGTTCAAAAAAATGTATTTCAACATTCCTTTTAAAAGGAAAACCTGACCTGCAAGTTTCCAAAAATATTACTATTCCTCTTGCCTCTCAAAATTCCCATTGTTGTTTTTTAGGAGGAAAAAACAGTTCATTTGAGGAAAAATTGAGGGACACATACTGTACAATTGAGAAGAGTTTCTCTGAAATTGTAATCATTTTTGGCAGGTAAATAGGCATATCCGAGTCAGCAAATCAACTTGAAAAGATACTGAATTATACTGCCTGTTCTATGGGGTTCCACCTTCCCCAAAAGAATTCAGAATTTTTGGGTGGTCTGAGAATCTGCATTAAGAGAACTCTCAGCACACAGGAGGTTTGAAGACCGCTGACCTAAGGGTCTTATTTTCTAAAGAGAAACTTTAAAATGTATTTTTTAAATGTATTTTTAAAAGTATATTTAATGGCCCAGGGCGGTGGCTCACGCCTGTAATCCCAGGACTTTGGGAAGCTTAGGCAGGAAGATCACTTGAGCCCAGGAGTTCTAACCTGCACAGCACAGCAAAACGCCATCTCTACAAAAAAAACACAAAAAAATTAGCTGGGCATGGAAGCATATGCCTGTAGTCCCAGCTACTCAGGCGGCTGAGGCAGAAGGATCACTTGAGCCCAGGAAGTTAAGGCTGCGTAAACCATGATTACACCACTGCAATCCAGACTGGGTGGCACTAAGACTCCATCTCAGAAAAAAAAAAGATAATTAAAATGTATAAGATACTATATTAGCATATAAAAAGCATTTGGTGTTAAAATGTTGGTATTATAATTCCTCAGATAAAACTTACTTTGTGATTGTTTTCTGTAACTCAAGATATGATGCTTAGAGCTCCTCCAATCAAGTGTTTCCAAGAAGTAAAAACTTGTAGGACAGAAATTTAGGCTGGGGGCATTTATATCATACAGACCTATTCTTTATTTAAGTTCTGATATATTTAACTATGTAGCTCCTGTAACAGTTTAATGGAATCTCACCTCCCTAAAATTCATTATGCATTTTTTTTGAAATCCAAACTCATTAACACTTGCTTTCACTGTTGTCCAAGGCAGGCACATCTTTAAAACTGGTTTGTTGGACTTAGCTTTCAGCTAAATATATAAAAAAATAAAACAAGCAGTTAAATAAAACTTAATGGGCCAGAGAGCTTCAGCTTTTATTTCCTTATTGCTCAATACAAAGAAACAATCAATGTCCATGTATTCTGTAATCCACAGAATAAGTCTGGGGCTACAGCTACACTGTCCACAGTTGCAATTTAAATTAGATAAAATTCATTTCTTCAGTCATGCCAGCCACTTTTCCAATGCTCAAGATGAATAAAATGTCAAACCATAAAGACATTTACATGTCGCTTCAGTCCACTTACTTAGGGTTCGCTAGACATCAGAGTATACTAGGAGCTCAGGAGTACAAGACACAAGACACTTCCTTCAAAAAGCTCAGAATAGTTAAGATAGTTTAAATCAGCAATGACAACAACCCGAGAAGTACTATGAGCCACGCAGTACAAACTGCTCAGGAGAAAACTCCTTTTTCAATAGGGGAGTTTGGCTCATAGAACAACAGACCATGGAAGGCATGACCAAAGGGGAGATGACATTTGAATCTGCAGGACTAAAAGCAGCAAGGGTAGCATTCCAGAAAGAACCACTTCACAAAGATACATGACAATGTCTATGATTTGGGTAACTGCAATTCATTCAATGTGACTTCAGGAGAGAGGTCATGTTTGTGCGTGTAGTATGTGGAAAATAGTGAAAAATGAAAAAGCTGTTAAATTGAGGTAAGTCTATCCGGGGACCTTATGCATCACATTCACGAGGACAGAATTCATCCTGTAAACCAGGGGTGTCCAATCTTTTGGCTTCCCTGGGCCACACATACAGGATAGCTGATGAGAAAAAAAGAAACAAAAAACCACCACCACCACCAAAAAACAAAACAAAAACACCCCGCAAACAAATCTAACATTTTAAGAAAGTTTACAAATTTGTCTTGGGCTGCATTCAAAGCTGTCCTGGGTCCCATGCACCCCGCGGGTTAGACAACTTGCTGTAAACAGTACAAGCCAGTAATGGAGTTTCATCTGTCATTTTCACGTTCTATCTTCCTTTAGGACAATCATTCTAACAAGATGTAAGATGGATCAGAATATAACACTAAAGACAGAGACAGCAATTTGGAAGCTGTCACACAGGCATCTGAGCTCAGTTACTAACTGTTGAGAACAGAAATAAAGGGATGCCTCGAAAGGTATTTAGAGGAAGAGAAAGGGAGATGTTGCCTAACCTCAGGTCCAATTCTCTGTAAAGCAGTAGTCAAGATCACCTGGACTGTGAAGAGGGTCAGGGATAGAATCCCAGCTAAGGAAAAAGGATAAAATGAAAATCCAGGTAAACACTTAAAGAACGAGAACTAGGGAGGAATAAAAGCACTGCTGGGTAAGAGTAAGGCCCCAGCTCAAGCCTTAATTTGTGGTGGAACCAATCTGTCTGGTTTCGTGAGTCACCAGGCTACCCAAGATCAAGAGAGGGAGAAAGCTAGTGCTATGTCTGAATACTGGATGAGCAAGTACAACAAATGGAAAATGGGATCAAGTATGAGTGAGAGGTGCTAAGATGCCTGGTACGGATGCAAAGGGGGAGAGAGCCTGGGGGGAGGTGGAGGGAGGGAAGCACTGGTTTCTCAAGCAAAGGCTAAAATTTTTCTATTAAGATTTAATCTGATGCTACACTTTGGGGGTGCAGCAAGGGTCTCAAATGGCATAAAACTTAGGTGATCATGCTTTAATCTACGTCTATCTCTAGAAAAATACTCCAAAAATGATAAGTAGTGATAATCTGCACTCTAGTTGCATAAAATCAGCCCCAGGTGAATGACTAGGCTCTATTTCCCTACCCCACCCTCATTACAATAACCTCGACACCAACTCAAGTCCGTGGGAAGATAACTAATCGGACTCGCCCCTCAAATCTTACACCTGCTCACTCTCCTCCAGGGCAACGCCCAGGTACCAAGTTAGCCCCTTAAGCCTAGGCAAAAGAATCCCGCCCATAATCGAGAAGCGACTCGACATGGAGGCGATGACGAGATCACGCGGGCGGAGAGAGGAGGGAGGGCTTCTTCCAGGCCCAGGGCGGTCCTTACAAGACGGGAGGCAGCACAGAACTCCCATAAAGGTATTGCGGCACTCCCCTCCCCCTGCCCAGAAGGGTGCGGCCTTTTCTCCGCCTCCTCCACCGCAGCTCCCTCAGGATTGCAGCTCGCGCCGGTTTTTGGAGAACATGCGCCTCCCACCCACAAACCAGCCGGACCGACCCCTGCTCCTCCCCAACCCCCACGAGTGCCTGTAGCATGTCGGGCTTGTCTTGCCCTTCAGGCGGTGGGAACCCGGGGCGGAGCCGCCACCGTCGCAATCCAGAAGTCTCGGCCGGCAGCCCGCCCCCGTTTCCAGCGCGCGCTTCCTGCCACGTTGCGCAGGGGCGCGGGGCCAGACACTGCGGCGCTGGGCCTCGGGGAGGACCGTACCAACGCCCGCCTCCCCGCCACCCCTGCGCCCCGCGCAGTGGTTTCGCTCATGTGAGACTCGAGCCAGTAGCAAAGGCCCGCTCCCACAGCATCGGCAGCCAATCAAGTGTCGAAAGCAAGCAGGCGGCGGGTAAACCGACTCCCCCGAAGGAAGGGGAGGGTGGAAGGACGCCCGCGCCGGAGCCCAATTTCACTGACCCTCCCCTCAAGCCGCGGGAGGCCGGCCGCGCCCGCACACCCAGCATCACCCCACCCCACCTACCTACCCGCCCCACCCAGGGGGCATCGCGAGCGTCACCAGGCGGCTGCGCACTCCCGACTCTGTAACTGACAGGCGCTTTACTCCAACCAGAATACGCCATTTGGGTTTTCACACACGGCGGGAGGAGAAATGGCCAATCAGCGACAAGCGGCAAGCCGGAAGCGCTCCTCCCTCTGCGAGAGCAATGGCTCCGTCCGGTTTCGAGCATTTTCCGCTCCCTTCTCCCTCCCCCTCCGGTTGCCGCAGGGCGGGCCTCCCTCCCGCCTGCATCCAACCACCCCTTTCCCTCCCGAGGTAACAAACATTATGTTCCCGACTTCCCACGGGAAAGGCAACCCCCGCAAGCCACCAGACGGTCACCCCAGCCACCCATCCCCCCCAGTACACCGCACCTCCCCTTCCACCAGAGTTCCGCTCCCCTACCTAGCCGAGGCTCTCTGAGGAGCCGGAGCCCCAGAGCACAGCCTCTTCTCTAGGAGGCCCCGGCGGCTTCCGCTGATTGGCGGCGAGTGGGCCAATGGGTGCGGGGCGGTGGGCGGAGAGGCCAATGGCGCGGCGGGAGGGGGCGTGTCCCGGGTGCCCCTGGCGCCGGCGCTGGGAATCCCCGTGCGGTCAGTGGCGTTTCCGCTCGGGCAGCGGGCTGAGTGAGCTGCCGCCGCCGCCGCCGCTGCCGGGGGAGGGGCGGCCGCCGCCCGCCTGCGCTCAGAGACTCACGCAGCCCCAGTCCCGCCAGTCCGCCAACACTGTAGTGCCGGCCCCCCTCTTTCCCTGGCCCTCCCCCCTCCCCGCCTTTGGCTCGCTCCGCCTTTCTGCCCCCCACCCCCACCTCACGGGTACGGGCCATTCCCGGCCAGGAAACGCCGTGGCGCCGCGTTGGGCCTAACTCGAGTCCTGCCGCCTCCCGGGAGTGCCGTGCGCCGCAGCCCGGGCCCAGGCCCCGGTAGCGCCTGGGACAAGGTAAGGGTCCGACAGAAAAGAGACCGAACCTCACGATCGGGCCTCAGGGGTGGGAAGGGTCACGTCCTCCGTCTCCCCGCGCTCGCTCTCCTTGGGTCGTGGGCCTGGCCCTCCCCAAGCTCTTAGCAGGAGGATGCTGCCCCTTCTCATCCCCCTCGCCGCCTCGCACACACCGTTGCAGCACCCCATTTTCCCAGGGAGAGAGGCCCCGTCTAACCTAGGCGACCCAACTCCCCTTTTCATGTCTTTCCTGGGTCAGGACGCTTCCCCTCCCCCCATGCCTCTTCACCCCCTTTCCTGGGAACTGCCTACTCTACGTTTACCTTTCTCTTGAGGAGAGGCCTCTCGCTGCCCTCCGCTCGAAATACACAGGCATACTTTTTTTCTCTCCCCGATCCCCCACTCCCTACCCCCGTTCTCGCGGCCTTGTGACAGACAACTCTGATCGCTCTGGGGGCCGCGATCTCCCCTCCGTAATCTTCCTGGACGCCTTCCCTCTCGTTTGCTGGCTTCCCACCTCAGATGGCTGCTTCCCAAAGGCATTACCTTCGCCACCCCCACCACACGTTCTCTGGCTCCCCGTGGCGTGTGCCCCAGCGTGTCTGAGATAGCCTCATTGAATGTGTAGGGTTCGATCCTGGAGTTGAGCCAGATTGTGTCGTTTTACTTGCCTTGGGCGTGGAGAGCGATCTTGTGAGAATATCTTCAAAGGCAGAAAATTTTACCCTTTATGAATTCTCTTTTCCTCTGCTTGTAAGTCGGGAATGTAAAGAGGAGGGTAGGAAAGAGCCCTGGTTCAAGTAGGTAAATCGCGTGAGAGGGAAAGTTTAACAGTTGGGAAAGCCCCTTCTATGCTAATTGATTCTATAGAGCCCTTGCATGTCTCACTTATTGGGCGTCAGTGGTCTTTCTCTCGGATACGGATGCTGCAGCCAGCTCTGCTGGTCTGGTTCAGGGGTGCGTGTATGACCTGCATTTTCTGCTTTCTCATGTTACTTGTGCAATGTATTCACCAGTAACTCATTTCTTTCCCAGACCTCTGGGTTCCACTGGGCTTTGTCTATATTTAAGTTCATTTCTCCAATTTCCTTCGTGCACATAGGTACTGTACGAATCCCCAAGTTCTCTGCTAATTCCCTTCATTACTTGACTAAACAAGTTGTTTTTAGATGACATATTTGTGACCAAGGTCATATTTACATTTCTTTGTTGGGCAGATGTTACATAGCTATACTTGTGATTGGGGAGGATCCAGCTGAGTGGAGTGTGCTGAGCTTTTCAGGAGAGTGTGTACTCCCTGTTTGAAATTATTTTTTGGTGGTTAATTTTTTTATTATTGTTTTTAGGTCACAGAAAGTTGTAAGTGGTAATTTTAGATGTGTGTGATCTGAGCTAGGACTAAAGCAGAGAATACTCACATAAGCAGAGGTTTCTGGACTCCATGGAGGACATAGGGCATTTTTTTTTTCTATTGGATTTCTTCCAGTTTTCTCAGGATCATTAGTTCTCTTCTGTAGCCAAAAATTCTGGCCTGTTATGGGTTTAGAGTCTTTAAGGTTTACTCAGACTGTCATTATGTGTAGAAAAATGAATTATGCCCTTTGGTAGGACATGACACAAGGCTCTGTTTCTAGCTGCAAATTTAAATTAGACTATAGAGTGCTTGGGAAATTGGCTTGCAAAAGACGAAAGCTTAATCTTCACTTCTAAACTGCTGGCTTAATTAAAATGGATATTTAGAATTTGGTAAATGTTGATTCTTCTAATAAAAGGCCTTGGTTTAAAAGGGTGACCTTAGGATTGTTTCTTTCTAAAAGCATAATTCCAGCCCTTCTGGCATGAAGCACTGGTTCAAAAAAAAAAAGTGTGTGTAAGGAGTGGGGGTGGGGTAAAGAGAAGGTTGTTCCTTTGGGTTGGATCACAGGGGTGAGTATACAAGGCAGCAGCAGCTGCTGGCTCTGGAGCTCTGGTTGCTACGTGAGAAGCTTGAGTAGTGCTGGCTGCTGTCTCCAGGGAAGGACAGCAGTGCAGCGTCCATTAATGCTGCTGGCTGCAGGGAGCAGCACTTAGGCGATGGCTGCTTCAGGACTAAGAAGAAACCTTGCTTTTCTGGGAATTTTCACTGCTGAGCTGGTTTGCTTTTTATTGGTGGGGAGATGGGAATTAGCAATTCATAACCTCCTACCCATTTATGGGTATTGGCATCTGGAAAGTGGATCATAAAGACTTTCTTTTTTTGTTTGATTTGGTTTTTGTTTTTTGGCAGATATTTGTTTTTTATCTAGATATTTGTGCTTGGATAGGACTAAAAGTTCCATTAGAGTTTTAATTTTTGAATCAGTTAAAAAACCCAAGTAATAATTTTAAGGATCTTTCTGATAACCACAATGGGAAGAAAATAACAGGATTTTTTTTCCTGCAACTGACATATCATGTTTTCCTCCATCTCTTTAATCATAGAATCAATTCTTATTATTTTGTTATGTGTCTCCTTTCTATTAAACCGTATTTACCTTATAGATGATTTGCTAAACATTTTACTAAGCTTGGACTCTTAAACTCTAAAAAAAGGTGCCATTTTGGAGTGGTTTCTAAATAAATATTTCTTCTTAATTTGTGTATTAGTAATAAACTTCTCCGGATTAGATATTTTCTTTGGAGTTTGACTTATAAGATTGATTCATTATATACTTGTTGGATATAGCCTTCTGACATCACAAATATATGTCTTTGGCCGTAATCCATCTGAAATGTAGGACACACCAGAAGAAATATGCAGAAATCGAATAAGTCTAGTTCAGGATACTGAGAAGATGGCCTCTGAGCCCCTTAGGTGATCTCCCCTCCCCCACAACTCTTGAACATTAGGATGATCTCTGATTAAGCAAAACAATCTGAGCGTGGAAAAGCTTGAAGGAGAACCACCACCACCAATTATATGCGATACTGGACATATGCATGTGTGCTGTTTTTCTCCCCCAAGACTAATGTATCCTATACTTTTTCTCCTCAGAATTTTTATTTGTTCATTTTTGTGTAAATGTACTTAAATCTCATAAACATCTATAATTTGTAGTATGACTCTGGCATTTGTGGCAGAGAACCAAAAAGAATGGAAATGAGTTTTGTCATTCACAAATGTGGCTCACATTGTTTTCCCAGTAATAAAAGCAGACCAGTGAAACAGAACCTTTAATGGATACTGTTTTAGGAGGTTCCAATTCTTATTACTATCACATAGATAAGATGCAATAGCAGATAAATATGATTTCATGTGTACTGGCTGCTTGACATACTTAGGGTTTAAGATAAAAATGTCTGCAGTTTTTTACTATGTGACTTAAGTTGCCATATAAAATAATTGCTTTTTCACTCGAATTTCCGGTTGTTTGGAACCTTTTGTGCTCTTGATATAATCATTTTCTAGAGGATCATACCGGGCCTTTTCATAGAAGGAGTTACTTAAGTAATACCCTTGAAAACTTTTTTATATCTTTTGATACTGTTTTCTGTCCAGGTACTGACTTTCTGAAATTATTCTGGCTTTTCTGGGGAGAATGACTATTTCATTTTTACCTATGAATGGGGAAATAATAAAGTGCAAAGTACAAATTTGCAGATCATTACTTTTGCTTTATCCTTTCCATATTGAAATAACTTATGAAAAATTAGGCCGTAGTTAACAGCAGTCAATGACTATTGAATACATTTTATCAGAGGGAAACTGGATCATGAATAAAATAACATTTTAAAAATAATTTTTGGCTGAACTCTGGTGATTCATCAGTTTAATTTGAAGTTAGGTCTAGCAGTGAATTTTATTTATAAAAATTGTATTTCAAGTGTTGAAAACTGGAACTTCTAGATAGTATGTTTTGTTTGAGGCATAAAACTTTGTGCAAAATGTGTAATGTATATTTGGTAATATAATTAGTAGTCATTTGTAATTAAAAATGTTTTTTCAAAGGTACTCTTTAGAAAATAAGTGTAATGTACCTATGATGGGCAGGGATTGGTACCATTGCTTACTGCCAAAAATTCCAAAATATGTGGTAGAGTGATTGATTTCTCTTGTGGTTGGGATTCTGAGAAGTTCGTGAAAGATGGAGAGAATACAGTTTCCTTCGCTTACCTGTATACATTTTGTTAAGTCTTAGGAAAACTGTTTTATTGTATCTTTAATTATGAAGTACATAAGATACCCAGTAACTCTGAGGGGAGGTGCTCTTAGAAAGCATTACGTTGGAGAATTCCCTTACCCTAGGACAAAATGCGTTCAGAGTCTTTAACACTTAGTGAAGGGAACTATAGGCTATAATAAACAAACAATGAAGGTAAGCTCAGTCTGCTTTCTATGTACCCTACTGAGCAAGGAATTTGTAATCCCATCGTGCCTCGCTCGGTTATTCCATCATATTGATTTTGTTTGCTGAATACCTGAGGGAATAGCTTACTTAATGTAAGGTCACATTAAGTATGTTTGATATGAAGACAGGGAAAGGAATTTTCTGCTTCTTGGAATATTATCTTAGTATTTTTAAAACACTAAGTTTTTATATCAGGCCAGTTTTGCCTGATGCTCATGTCTGTTGCTTTGGTTGGGCTGCTGCTTTCTCTTCTGTGCTCTTCTGGATTCCTTGTGGTATAATGATTCCCAGAGCTTTCATGGCAATTTGAAGTAATAAGAAGCATTGCCTTAGCCATGTTAGTTACGTGTACACTTTTGGCCTGTGTTATGAATCACAAAAAGCGGTGCTATAGGAATGTATACAGAATAGATTTCTGTCTGCGGAATCAAGTTTTTGATTTGTGCTACCTAATGGAGGGAAAAATGCTGAATTTCTTGCTGCTCTGTTTGAGAAATAGATGGAAGCATGGGAGGAGCCAGAGACCTCTGCAGCAGGATTTGGTCTAAGTAGAAAAGGAAGATTTTTGTTTCAAATTGCCAGCTGCTTATGTCAGACTGACTCCCTTATTATGCCTCCAGTAGGCCTGTCAATATGGCCAAACAGCTAGATAAGTGCGGGGCAGGACAAAGGGCTCTTTGCACAGCAGGGAGGCAATGTTGGTGGGGGAGGGGCAGGAGGTAGGAAAGGCAGGAGGAGGAGGTTCTTTTCCCTGGGAGATTATTCAGTTTGGCATACAATTAAAGAAATCATTTTTAGTTCCCACTCAAGCATTGAATTTTT